CATTTGAAATTTTACATAACAAAGCATACATAAAGTAAAATTTTTGGACACCTCATCGACACCCGGTCAATCTCTCTAAAGACATTTTGCCTAACGACAATTTGCCTAAAGACACATTGCTTAACAGACAGTTTGCTTAACTTACGGTTTTTTAATGGATATTCCGCCTAATAGGCAAACTGTTCCTTAGGCAAACTGTCGTTAGGCAAAATGTCTTTAGGCAGATTGACGGGTCACGCACATCTCACTGATAATTATTTTACGAAGTGATCAAGACATTAGTCACAATGCATTGATAGCAGACAAAGTGATATTGATACAATGAAGTTTGAGTAATATATAATGTGCGGCAATTTTTTTGCAATATTTTTTTCATTGGGCAGTATTGGAGAGTGACTCAAAACCCATGTGCTTGCCAAATCAATAATTGAAGTTGAAATTTCATGAAGACAGATGATTTCCACCTCTTATTGGTAGCTGCGCGGAGCGAAAGATGTCGAAGAAGGAAGTGGTATTGGTGATAACAGAGAGGCATAAACTCGTAATGAGTCGCAATCGCTGATCAAATAAATAAGTTTATTCAAATCTAGAACATCTCTATTAAACAGTACAACGAATATCAAACGGTATGCAAAATGATTATCACAATCGCAGCTAATAAGAGTGGGGCACGTATTTTTACACTTTGAGCGGTGCATGACGGGTTAGATTCCTGTAAATTTAGATTCTTCGAAATTTTCGTCAGATTCCTAAATGACTGCTTTCCGGCCGGAAAATTCTGTTCCAATGGAACAGAATTGTATCGATAGAAACATATTGACCGAGTAAAATTTATTATAGCTCAGCAATCAGGCGATTCCAAAATTCTCCAATCTCATACTGTCATTATTTTTATTATAATGCATGTTAAGGTAAAGGATTGTGGAAGATTATGAAAAATCAATGAGTAAAATTGCGATATTGATGATGAATTCAATACAAATCCTGAATTCACCTCAAAAAAAGTCCTTTTTATTTTTTAAAACAAACCTGAGGATGAATTCTTGTATAGTCAAGATCCTGACGGCGTCGACGATACATTGGTGTCATACGTTCACATTCCGATACTGTAATAATGACACTTACTCTATTCACTACTACCCGCATCATATACTGTATAAATTGATCAACCAATCACGAAATCCGCTTAGCGCACTAGGCGATTTTCGGTTGAATAAGGGATATTTTAGCACCGAATCAGGGATTTCCTATTGGATTTCAGATTTTTCAATAGTATTAACTTGAAGATTTCCACAAATTTTCGATCGTCTTGAACAATTTGACTTCATGTGATCATCCTGGATTTACATGTGGATTTTCTCTTCAATCACGGATCAGTTATGTACATTTTCGATCTAAATTTCATAGCTCATCAACTGAATTCAATAAAGACTTGGGAATTTGTTCTGAATATGCGAACTTACTGCGTCTTGGTGTGAAACTATGTGCACTCTTTTTTGTTAAATTTGCACACGCATTATCGGTGAGAAACAGATGAAGTGATGCATCTGGGAATGGCATTATTTGAATTTCCCTTAAATTTAGCATCCAGTTATTCACTCAAGCATAACTTACATGGTGCATCATTCAATATTACGCTAACTTTTTTGTATGTTCTCTTCGAAAATTTCATTAAGCTGATGAAATATCACATAAAATTCGACTATTATGCATCGTTGATTAACGATGTTCATTGGTCGTCAAGTCCAGTCAATTCATCGAATGTCACTGCGCATTGGCGGGAGTCATTTCGACTCATAAATAATTGAAAATTTTAATCCGCACATAATTTTGCCATAAAATTTGAGAAAATTTGAGAATACTGAGTGAATCGAATTTGATAATTCAGTGCAATACATCGATCACCTTGAACAAACACCATCGTTGAGCATGAAATTGTGCTTTTCGGTGAGCGTTATCTCGTAGATTGGATACTCCAAAGAGCATATCTCTCGATGTTTGATCCTCGAGAATTGACACGTTCCACCGACCATTATTGGTTGTGTGAGAGCACCTCGGATCGTTGCCGTCACCAATAACCAGATATCCAACCTTAATAAAAGCAGTTTCATTCAGCAATCAATCACTCATCTTATAATACCCTATCCAGATTAGTGACATTTCTATTCCCCACTTTTTGCAAACTCTTTGCAAACAAACTTTGCAAATTTGCAAAGTTCTACGCCCCTCTTCAGTTCCGTTCTGTTTTTTGTCCTTTTTTAGAAATGTCCAATTATTTTGTTCGAATAGAACACAAGTATAAAAAGACTTCGAGTTTCGCAAAAACGATCGATCATGCCGATTTCAGATCAATCAGCATGAGCTGATAGCGTCAGTCGCCTAAAAACTGCGGCATGCCTGATCAGAACAGTTTGAGCGGAAACAGAACCGTCACTAGTCGGAACTGATCTCATGTAACGAAACTTTGATTCTATAAATTCTATGAATTGCAATCGATGTGATTTGAAAGTTTGGTCGCAGTATTGAGCTTTTAATAAAGGACGATACAAGAAACATTAGTATAAGGTATTTGTTGTGTCAAAGGTGAGGAGTTACCAGAACGTGCTAGTGAGAAGTTTTGTGAGACGAAATAAGAGTGTGGTGAAAGAGTGCGGTTTTGGAGCGGCTTTATTTATTGAATAGAGGAATCGTTGGGCACTGCATTGGGCTTGATTGTCACGGCGATAGGTCCTGCAACGAATTTCTTATTACACTGATTACTTTGCAGTATCAGGTTTCCGTATATCCATATCAAACTAGGGGTAGATTATGTTACTGTATCTGTCAGGAAGTTCGCTCAGAATTCTTGTGGAATTCTTAAAATTCGTGAGATTGTTTCGTTGATGTTCAGCATAGAGATCTGGATTTATTAATCCAAGCATATGATAACGTTTAGCTTTCTTCTTAAGTATTGACATGAGAAGAGGGTACGAGGACAGCTGTAAAATCAATTAGATAATTTAAGGGAACATAGGAGGTCATTAACGAGTTTGATTATTAGTTCTTAGCAAATCAAAAGTTTAAAATCTTTGATTTAAAAGAAATTTCTGAAAGATGTGAAAATTTCAAACTTTTTAATCATTCGTTTTTTGATCATATAATCGAAAAGTAATGCATCTGCAGATGATAGGTGTTGTTGCGAGTACTTGCCAGCCACAATGAAGCCATCCGACAGCACTAAGTGACAGCTCTTTTTCAACTGAAAAAAATAAAGACATTTGAATTATAATTCGAAAATTATGCATTTCAATAGAAAGAATTTCATTTTCAGTTAATTTTTTGAAGGTTTCAGGGGTGTTGTAATAGCTGTGGATACTGGAGAATCCACAATATCGCATTTTATTCCTTCCGGATTTCCATGGATATCATTCGTTTCTATGGATTCATAACTTGCGGGCAATCACAATTTTTGTATTTATTCATGTTAGAAGTACCACATCGAAACATTCAATCTTTTATTTATTATGAAAGAGTGTCAATTACTGTAAGAATGTTGCTGGTGCTAACAGACAGAATTACTGAAAAAGGAGCACAGTACTGTTGAACACGGAGTTCAGAAAAAGTGATATTACAGTAACAGCTAGTAAATCATATTAAGGCAGCATTTCCAACCTGATAGCATACAGCCCATTCGGGACGGTGGGCAGTGATATTATAGAAGAAACGATCGATGAATTCGGTGGTCCATTGAACACCACCAACAGCCAGTCGTCTCGAGTAGACCGAATCAAAAATCTGCTTGTAAGCAGTTACTGTGATCTTATTGTTATCGTTGAAAGCGAACAATTTGAGTTTGCTTGATGGTTTCGGATATCGCTCCAGCTCCAGTACATCCGCTATTGGAAGAAGCGATTCGAAGTTGCTGAAATTTTAAACTCAGATGCGTGAATGCTCTACTAACAAGACTGAACTTCAATAAAGTTCCAGCTATCCTTGAAATCCTCTCAGTATCTCTTTATCAAGATATGATAAATAGAGTTTTAATGCTCTCTTTCCGCAAGGTTGATTGCAATAAATGGACTTAACGAGCCGCTTCACACAATTAGTCCTTATAACTAATCGAATTGTTAATAACTAAACATCTCAGTCCACCTTATGGAAAACATTACGGATCAAGTTTCAAATTGCAGCTATAACCCTCAGATTGTCGCGACGGAGCACGAACGATACTACTATTCATCAGGCAGACCAAAGTGGTTCTATGGACAGAATGGATATACGAATTGCATGATGAAATAGAATATTTGTATGTAGTGTTGGATGATCGTCTTAGCCCTTTCTGCTTGCATAGTCGCCTTATACTGCCTTATTGGTTCGGATGATGGAATGGAACTAATGTATGTACTGCTTGGATGCCTTTATCCCTTTGTGATTCTATGATATTAATACTTTGTGTTTCGATAACATGATTTAGTGTTATTGCAAATAAACGACTGAAAGAGGTGAAATAAGCGATCAAAATTGCGAAATACCAACCATTTGGGATAGAACGCTGTAATATGATTGAAAGTATTGACGAATGAAGTGATATGATAAAGCGGATCGAAATTCGGTGGCAGTGGATTAGTTTCGCAGGTTTCATTTTCGCCCAAATCTGGCCAACTTTCTGTCCAATTATTCAAAGTCACCACGAGTGCATACGGCAAATTCGTATCCATCTCGCATTTCCGAGCCTCCAAGAAGGCGTTGAAACGTTCGGTCATATCCACATGATCCAAGTCACCACGACAAAGACCACTGCAAAACAAATACTGGCTTGAGAAAATAGCCGCTAACATTATGGTGCGGTGTGCTACCTCAATAACCACCAATATCCACGTGGTGGTGATTGCTTATGTCAAATCCAAATGTTTCATAACTTCATAGGT